GACTGAGGTGCTCGTACAACGAGGCGAGGTGGAGGGCTAGGACCGTCGACCTGTGGACTGAGCTCGCGAAGACGGAAGGCTGAGCAAGGTCGCCGGAGTGGAGCTGCGGGATAGGGAGGAGCTGCTGTGACGGCGCTGTTTCGAGCTGCAAACAGCCAGCTGGTGTGTGTCGCGGTCTTGAGGACTCGCCGGCGTGGAGAGGGCTCGCCGGAGAAGGTGACTCCGCCGGAAATTTGGCCGGATTTATGGAGGTGGTTGGGTCATGGAGAAGATGAAGTGAGATGGTGAGCTATTTATAGAAGAATGAATGAGCTAGGGTTTTGGTCTCCCTTTGGGCTTTCTATTGGGCTTCAATTGAAGAAAAATCGGGCTTTAACATTGGGATCGAAATATCTTTGCCTTGAGCTCGTCTTGACATTAAATACTACTTGGTCTCAGAATTAAAATTGATAGTTCGATTTAAAAGGTCTCGGATATAATGGCCAAGTAATTAAATATCAGATACGGACTTAATGGACCGAATTAAAATGGCTTGGGTCAGAAATTAAATAATTTGTGATTTTTCTAATACTCGAAAAAAAATAATAAATCGAGACTTGTCGACTTTACTAAAATAATTAGGTTCGGATTTAAAATCGAACACGACTCAAGTAACTTAAATGGGCCGGCTAAAATAATTGGACTTGCTCGAAAAATTCGAATAGATTAAATGTTCGAACTTCGGTATGCTAAAATAAAATTTCGATCATTTCTGAGGCTCGGTTCTAAAATAGAACTGATACTTGGGCAAAATAGATCCGACTTTAATAATTAAAATCGAATAAATTCTCCATGGCTTAGACTTTAATAATAATTATGCAAATTAATAATAATAAATGCATCAAATTAGGAAACTTTATATTTATGAAAACATAGTCGAACTCCATAAATAGTAAATAAAAATCTGGGCGTTACACCCTTACTCGTCACTGTTACTAGTTAGTAGATGTTAGTCGAGGAAAAATATAAATTATAATTTTGTCGCGCGGTCAGTCTCCATTGGTGGAGTTCTTTAGTCATTTATAGAGTAGTTTAGTCTCCTTTATAAATTTTTTGTCATGTTTGTTTGGATGTTTTGTAGGGTTGATTTTGAAGGATAGCTCATTTGTTAAAAAGACTCTCCCGTGATTAGTTTCTTTCAGCAACTTAGCAGTTAAGATGATCATTGCAACTAATTGGCTACCGGTTGTACTCATTTTTAGTCACATTACGATGTTTGGATAAAAAAAAGAGAGTGTCATTTTAAATAAGAATAATAATAAAATTCTTTAAGAAATATTTAAATGTTAAAATAGAAAAACTATTATTATTTATTTTAAAATTTTACCTTTAACCTTTTTAATTAATACCTCTAGACTAGATACTCATTAGTTGGTACAAAGTTTATCCACCAAACACAGAAATTGCAATGTTTTGTTTGAAATTAGTTGTATGT